ACACACACCCACTCACACACACACTCACACACAGACACTCACACACAGACACTCACACACACACACATACACACACACACACACTCACACACAGACACACACACTCACACAAAGACACTCACACACACACACATACACACACACACACACTCACACACAGACACACACACTCACACACACACACTCACACACACACACACACACTCACACACTCACACACACACACACACACACACACACACACACACACGGACAGACAGATTGGGATACAGCCCACTTGATAAAGCTGAGTTCCCCAAAGCCACATATACTGGGTGTGGCAGTACACCTAGCATTTCTGTCATCCTATAAGGTCCCCTATGGAGTGAGGAGTTGACATGGAAGGGGGGTGGCATGGGGAGGCTGAGCTGCCTTTGGGATGGAGGTTGTGTCTGTAATGAGATACAACGGACAGGGATGAGAATGTCCTCAGAGGTATCCTGAGATTCAAGCCCCCTGCCCCCAGAGTCCTAGTTGGTCAGGGTGAAGACACCTCACACTGGCATCTGAGAGTAGGGGTGTGGCAGTGACCCCAGATCAGTAGAGACAGAGAATGGCCTTCTGTAACCACATAACCCCAAAAAAGATACCCCCTCACTGATGCAAATGATCGAGTCTGTGTCTGATCCACCTGGGAGACAGGAGAAACAGCAAGTATGTGAGGCTGGCTCAACCCTGGGATTTCCAGGGGATGGAGAGCCTCTTGCTCATGTGGCCTGCTTTCCTGGACCCCTCAGTCCCGTCCCTATGCCACTGGCCCACACCTCTGATGTTTCAGAAAGGTTGGGATATTTTTCTTTTAGATGTGTCCCATTGTCTAGCTCAGGGTACCCTGGAACTTGAGATTCCCCCTGCCTCTGCCCCATCAGTGCTGAATTATGGGCCAGCATCTCCAAACCCTGCACTAGCTCTTCATTACTTCATCCCCTACCCTAATCTAAACTCCTGCAGAGGACCCAAGTTCAGTTCCCAGCATCCACATCAGGGGTCTCACAACCACTTATAATTATAGCTCTAGGAGTTGGATGTCATTTTCTGATCCCTGTGGGCCCCTGCACACAAGTGGCACACACAGGTTCACACATAATACAAATAGAGAAATCTTCAAACACCTTGTTGATATAGCCTTGCCACCACCTGCCCGTGGTTCTCAACATGCCCTCCACCCTCTCTCCCACAGCTGTGGCCATGCTGTGACAAGGGCTTCATTCTCTTTGCCAGGCCTCTGCACCTGCTGCTCCCTCCAGGGCCTTGCAGAAGTCCTGGCCTCTTGCCAGATCTCAGCTCAACAGCAGCCTTCCTGGAGCAGCCTCCTGACAGCCTGGCCCCTGCGGCTCTCCTCTTGGCTTCACATCCTCCCTTACCAGTTCTCTTCTGAGAACCCTTGGGAGAGCTCATGGCATCATTTCCCATCTGTGTCCCATCTGAGAGCCAGATGAATGAATGAATGAATGAATGAATGAATGAATGAATGAATGAATGAATGAATGAATGAATGAATGAATGAATGAATGAATGAATGAATGAATGAATGAATGAATGAATGAATGAATGAATGAATGAATGAATGAATGAATGAATGAATGAATGAATGAATGAATGAATGAATGATACATGGTGAATAGATGATCAATGTATGTATGATCAATGAATTAATGAATGAGTAACACATCATCTCTTCTGTCCACTATTTATTACTTAATCTCTCTCTTGTTGACACCTCCATTTTATCTCCACTCAGACTGAGTGTCCCTTACAGTCTGGCCAGGGACACAATGTAGGTTCTTCTGGAACAGAAAAATTAGAGACCCCAAGGAGAGGACAGAGGAGGCTTGGTATGTGTGGTACCCAGAAACCTTCCTAGGGAACCAAGCTGCAGTGGCAATAGACTCCATCTCCAAAAGATGTATCTATGATCATGATTCCCCCCAAAATGGATCCCCAGCTAGCCACCTTCCGTCTGCACTTGTCACAGGGGTCAACTCTTCAGATAAGTGCAGACCAGAGAAAGGAGGTAGGAGAGCCCTGTCAGAGCAGTCATTGCCAAGAGCTGGGCCTTGGGGCACCAGTTCCAATCCTGTCTAGTGTTCTCTGCACAGTGTGGAACACGCCTCTGCTGGACACCTGTGCCTTCTGTGTCCCCCACTTGGAGATCCAGTACTGAGACATGTCTTGGTTTGTTCTGTCTTTTCTCCCCTGACAAAATGGGCAGGAAGAGGGCAGTGGGCTGGGCACACAGTATCCTGGAGACATCCAGAGAGAGCCTGGGGATAGAGGCCCCAGGAGCAGTTGCAGAGGGCTCACACCCCCTCCAGGAAGCCACCACAGGAAACACAGGGCCTGGCATGAGCAGGGGACCAGGTATTTTTGCCAATAACTCAGCAATTTCCCTGATCTGGACTCAGAGCTCCTGGGGGATGAGCCACAGACAGAGGCAGGCATGAGCACACCAAATCAGGCAAGGACAGGGTTCAGGAAGGTCATACATTTGGTTGGCCTAGCCCAGTGCACGATCAGCAAACCTGGGGTTCAAGGCCTGGTTCTCAGAAGCAGCTGTCCCTGGCTGGAGGAGACCAGAGTCTGCACTGGTGACAGGTAGGCTGCAGAGGGACCAGGAAGCATGTGTGAGTTCAAGACCTGGAGTCTGATAAAGGTAAGAGACCACAAGGGGCAGCCCTTACAGGGAGCAGGCTACTTCATCCCCAGCCCTCTGCAGAAGGGCTCAAGCCCCCAGCAGGACAAAAGAGGAGAGTCTCAGGACTCCAGGTGGTTTTTCCTAAGGGGTAGAGTCGGGATGTGAGTACACTGGGTCTCCTGCAGCAAGGAAGTCAGAAGACGGGCCAGCAGCCCCTAGCCACATAGAGCCAGCCTTGAGGGGTGGATCTGTACCAGCCACAGAGCTGTGATAAAGATCCCCAGCAGACTGCCTTGACTGACCTGGGCTAAGAGACCCCAGGCACTGGGTGGTACACACAGCAATGAACACACAGACAGGTCTCCCTTGGTGGATGGACACAAAGACATGGGATGCAAGCTGGGCACTACATATTAGGTGGTGAACACTTTGATGAATGCTGTGTGGTAGGTGCTAGGTTCTGAGTTCTGTGAATTGGATTCTAGGCACTGAGTGCTAAGGAGTGAATGTGAGCATTATGCTTCAGTCCTGACAAACACTCCAGTCCTTCCCCCTGCCTCACCTGCCCAGCCTGAGGAGCTGTGTCTTTGCCATGGAGTAGATTTCAAGGGCTGTACTCTTCAGGAGGCCCTGCATCCAGCACAAGTCAGCTGGCATTTCAGGAAGCCATAGCAGTAGCCTGTGAAAGGGGCGGTGTTAGCTTCCCAGGTTGCCCTGGGGTAGTCCCAGATCAGGGGTGGTCCCTACATTCCAGGCAACAGCTGGAGAGAGGGGAAAGGAAGAGTGCCTAAGACCTCAGGATGGCCCCATAGGTCACATCCATGGCACATATCCAAAAGTGGGCTTTGAACTGTGGGGATGATGGGCCTTGGTGTCAACCTCCGTAGAGTTCCAGTGAGAAGCCTGGGGTAGGAAGGGGAGAGTGTGGTGTGATATTAGCTCTATGGCTACTCTGCTATGCAGCTTGGAGAGTCAGAAAACACTGAGTCTCAGCTTTCCTCTCCTGTCAAATGATGACCATCTGCCTAGAGTTCCTTACCCTCCTTATCTCCATGCATCCCTCTTCCTGCCCTGTATCATTCATTCATTCTCCCTTCAGGGGCCAGTGCCTTCCTCTGCTTTAAATGCTCTGTGTGTGATTACAGACCGAGGGAGAATGTGACATCTTGAGGGCTGACTCCAGCAGGCTCACACCATAGAGATGGCTAAATTTCTTCATTTTCATTTTGGCTCACGGTTTTAGTAAACAGCTCTTCATGAGGTGAGTGTGTCAGGAGGAAGGTCTCTCCCAGTCACTAACTCAGGGCAGTACAGCACCAAGTCCTGGGGCTCGCCACCATAGACTTTCTAAAGAAAAGGCATTTTAGAAACACAGCCTTTGCTGGGCAGTGGCACACACCTTTAATCCCAGCAATGGGGAGGCAGAGGCCAGTGGACCTCTGTGAGTTCAAGGCTAGCCTGATCTACAGAGCGAGTTGCAGGACAGGCTCCAAAGCTACAGAGAAACCCTGTTTGGAGAAAGAAAGAAAGAGAGAAAGAAAGAAAGGAAGGAAGGAAGGAAGGAAGGAGAGAGACAGAGAGAGAGAGAGAG